ATCTATCTATCTATCTATCTATCTATCTATCTATCTATCTATCTATCATCTACCTATCTATCTATCTTGTAGGCATTTTAAATCAAGGGATAGAGAGGAAACCAGAATGGATTTGAAGTTGTAATTTGGTAGGATTCATTGGATGCTCAAGGATGTAAACATCTCCCCGGAGGTGCCACTAAGCCAAATAAACCAGAACCAGGTTAACGTAGTCAAAGGATTGTGAATCAGGAGTTAGAAGTAACCTTATTTGAGAATTGTCATTGTTAGATCAAGAAACTAAGGCCCAGGGAGGTGAAGTTCCAACTATGAAGTAAGGAAGACTGGAAGATTTGAAAGCAGATCATCTATGTATGAAGTCAACATCTTTTATGCTATGCTACCTTGAAGAACCTAGAAACTATGTCACCAGTTGGCAAGTACAACAGGATTGTTCCACAGGAAAATGGAAGAATTCCTCACTATAACTTGGACTGGTGACAATATGATGAAGGCAAATGACCACAGAAATATACATCTGGAAAAATGTTAGGTTGAATTTGGAGATGAGCAAAAAGGAAAGATTCCTGGGAGCAGAGGAGGAGAGAGACATGTGTCTTTCTATATATGAAGCCTTCTACTACCAAGAGTATTTGGAATTTGAACTATATTGTATGTGTCAAAATATTGTGGAGATACCCTGTTTCCCTAGAGCTAAGCTCCAGCAAGCAGGCTGTGCCCTGAGCTTGACATAAAAATAATCCTTTGCCCTCTGGATGATCTCACCCTCTGGCAAAATGTATTGCACCAGGTGTTCACTCTCACTATTTCCAGGGACCTCAGTGCCAGCATCCCTTACGTCTCTGACAAGCTCACAGTCCTGTTCTTTGTACTGTACTCTTGTTTCCATCACAGAACTCTGGTTCTGTACCCCATAGAGTAATCACAAATCCCAAGACTTGGGACAATACTGTTCCCACAGGACCCATGGAAACAGTAAATCAAGACCTCAAAGTGATTATGTCATAGTCCAGCCCAGGATGTATATAAGCACTACCTGTACCACAAGGTGTTAAGCCCTCCTATTCAGGAGGACTTTCCACTTGCAAGTGTTTTCCTCACTCTGAAACCAATGAAACCATTATTTAATTCCTGACACACCTCCTTCTGGCCTGCTCTGTTTTCCCAAGTTAGAGACTGGTTCAGTCTAGACTGCATTCAAAATCCTGTTAACACTAATTGGTGGCAGTGGCCTTAAGGGATGGATGTGGGGGTGAGGCCTGGAGCTCTCCAGTACTGAATGGACCAACTGATCACCCCTGGAGTTTCTCCAGCATCTGGCCCACCACTTCTGGCCAGCTCATTGTTCTCACTCCTGCTCCATTATCAGCTCACCCTTGATTGAGCTCTCATTTCTTTGTGAAGAAAAACTCCCCCTTCTTGACCCAGTTCATCCTGGATCACTCTAGTAAGGCCACCCCCCCTGCCTACTCAAGTATATTGGCTTAGATGCATGCCTTTGTTTTGTTTGTTTGTTTTGCATGCATCTGATAAATTT